ACTGTACAAATATCTAATGCATAAGGTTATGCATTAAACATTTTTACAATCTCATTTTTGTAAATATATGGATAATTTTTATAAACCTTAAATCGTATTGGCTCATACGAAATCACGGTTTGTGAAGGAAATTACAGTCCATTATGGCAAACCGCGACCCATTAAGTGGTTTGCCAACCCATTAAGTGTCACCTATACATGGGCGGAGCCAATAGGGGGCTGTCAGATGCTTGGCCCCCCTAATCTCTCAAGTAGAGCATTAATTGTAGCATGGTGGATAAGCCCCCGAATAGTTTGAAGCCCTCATTGTCTATTACTAATTTTGTACTTTAGTGTTCAACCCCTCTCATTCTTTTTTAAATTCAATTACTATACAAAAAAATAAAAGGTATGACAATAATGTCTAAAATTAAGTCTCACATTTATTAATTAACTAGCTAGGTTATACACACATTTATTTTAATTGCCGGATTGCTTTGGTTTATTTATTTTAATTCATGTTTATAAATTGCTATCTTAATTGTAAATCGATATAGCTAGTAGTTTTTTTTTCCACAAACAAAAGTTATATATGATTTCTATTTTATGAAACAAAGACAGACACAATTAAGATAACTAATGGATGAAAATCGGTGCTTATAATCGTTTGAAAACATTTTTTTGAACAGAAATTGTTTAAAAATTTTGAAGATTGATTATTGCAAAGATCAATATAGCCCATATCTAAACGATTTTTTTCTTTATCAGTTTTACAGAATAAATTATGTTATCCGGATATAAAAATATTTTAATATCTTATTACGATGTAAGTCCCCCTTATCCTAAAATCCTAACTCCGCCCCTGCACCTATACAGTGGCTATTTATTTAATTTTTAAAATTTTCAACTATTTTTTGAAAAATAATTATACTATTATACTAAATTTGTCTTTTCCTCTAATTATAATGACAAAATATCAATAACAAGTTCTACAATTCAATGTAATCAAAGATAAAACCTATTAATGCAACAAATATACTTCAACTCTTTTTTCACTTCTTAAAAAGCAAATACGATGGCTACACAAATTTACAAATATCGTATGCATGTATGGGCGATGTATTTATTTTATTATTATTATGTATGTAAACATATATACATATGATCTCTTTCATTCCTCTCTTGGAATCCATCTACTCCACCACATGCTCTTCCTTCCTTGGTTAAATTCGTCCATGCTTTCATTCAATGTTTTCAAGACCTTCCTTTGAAACCGAAGGACTGATGCAAGAACATTTCTTTGTGCATTTGCCTTCTTCTTTGGCTTTATTTCCTACAATAAAAAAAACACAAAAATAAACAGTTATCACAGTCACAAACTAAAATAGCAGTCACAACCGTGATTTGGAATAAAGGTTTTTTCATATATTCAGTAGAAATTTTATATAATATAATTATATAGAAAATTAACGTATAAAAAATATGTAAAGAAGCTACAATTGCGTACTAACGAATGTATACTTAATATTTTTAACAAGGTAATTGAGCAGATAAGCAAAGCCAATACCCAAATTTTATTAAAACATTAGTAAAAATAGTGCAAAACTAAGGATGCTTTTGGTTGTAGAAAATTGTTTTCATTTTTCTAGAAAACATTTTTCAGAAAAAGGGTTGAGTTTCATTTTTCGTTTTCAATAAAAAATTTAAAAAACACGTTTGGTTAAAACCGCTGGAGTTTTCATTTTCCGTTTTAAACTATAAAAATAAATTTTCTAATTTACATATAATTTGGAAAACAGAAAATTTACATTTTTTGAAAAAATTTTGAAAATTGAATCAACCAAAAAAAACATGTTTTCAAAATTTCCCTTTTCATTTGTAAATCTTCATGAAAAATTAAAAAAAATTCCAAAACCAAACACAATTTAAAATTTCGTTAAAAATAGTTATTTTTCCAATTCCAACAACCCTGAGCTGTTAACCCCAAAAACATCACGTCAGATGTAATCAAGTACACAGTGTGGCCCGCCCGCTAGGCCCACGTGGCGGCTCGACATAAGTGTTATGTGGGACCCACACCACACGGCCACACTGCAGCTGCTGAGACTTAAACCCTTAAAACCACGTGTTAAATTGATACTACATGCATACGATTAAATTGTTTGAAAACGTACTTTAAGTGCTTGAAGCTCGGCTTCAGTGAATCCACCATCTTTCTTTGTGCCCGATCTAGCCATAAGCTCAACGATCCATTTCACAGCTTCACTATAATCCTGCTGTGTGGCTCTGAAAAACTGCAGCCTAAGATTCTGCATAATCGACAAAGCAAGAAGACCTTCTTTATCAAAATACGGATGTGCTAAAGCCGCTTTTGCACTAACTCTTTGTCGAGCTTTGTATCGAACCATACAAGTCAAAAGTTCCCATCCGATTCCACCATCTAAATCCAACAACTCGAATCCTCTTCTTAAATCCCCATTTGCACGTGGCTCTACGCTTTTCCTCCATGCAATTAGGTCATAATCGCATCTTTTTAATTGGCGATTGAATTGAATCAAACCACTGTCTGATCGGAATGAAGGAAATGCCTAAAGTATACAGACGCTGTAAATTACGAAATCTCGTTCTTCATAATTGAAATTGATTATATGTAATTAATTATCGGTTGTGTTGCGTACCATTTGTAGTAATATTAGACCAGTGCTGTAAATGTCGAATCGATCTGGGAGGTTTAACTGTTCATGGTTGAAAACTTGAAATTAGTAACAATAAAATTTAAGAAGATGTAAATTAACATCAATGGAGACTATTGCACCTGCCATAGAACTGGAGAAAGTGCAGCTGCAACTGGAGCTGATGGAGCAGATGGAGTTTGTGTGCTCATAATATATTGCTCAGGTGCTGCGTATCTGAAAAGTTTGATCGATTTCTTCAATTGTTTAAAAAATTTAGGGTTTAATAAAATCTTGAAACAAATTTGATGTGATTTTTAATACCTTGGATCTAAAAGAAACTCTTTGGGGATATAATTGATGCCTACTCGCAAATCTGCTGCAGCTCCCAAATCGATAATCTTGAATGTTCGAGACCCTGGTTTTAATTTTAATCGAGTAAAAGTTTTTACTATTTGAAGTAGAAAATTAACGAATTTGAATAATATGTTTACCTTCGGAAAAAATAACATTTTGAGGTTTGATATCTCTGTGAACAATTCCTGTTGAGTGAAGCCCATCTAATGCAAACAAGAGTTGCCTGAGAATTGTTTGAATGATTCGATTTTCTCTTTCTAATCCTTTTGGTAAGTCTTGCATTTCTCCAAGAATCATTGATTCAACCTGAAAATATTTTTACAAAACAAGATACATTTTCAAAATGATGAATTAAGTACTTGTTAAGGATATTAAGTCTTGAGATAAGTTACCAACATTATAGGGGAATTCTTTACTCTGAATCAAGTCAGCAAGTGTGGATTCCCCTTCGAATCTCCATATGAGCCAATATTCGGCTTCTTTCTTTGAAGATTTCTAAGAAATATAGTCAAAAAAGTAATTGAATAAAGAAATATGTAAAAAGTTGAAAACTTTTTGTGTTTGGAGTCGACTAGATTATACCTCAAGAAAGCCATAGAGGAAATCAGCACAACTATTTGAACAAGCTCTCCTCACACGCTCATTCATCCATATCTCAACAGCACCATATTCTGTAGCTTTTTTAAGAACTAAATCGCCTTCCTTTTAGCAAATACAAGAAAAAAATCATATGTTTTCAGATAATTGAAGGTATTTGAACTTGAGTATGGAAAAGAAACTGGTCATATGGTTTGTTCAAGTTATTTTCTCTTTATAAAGAAGATTGAAGTTCTCTGAGGCATTTCCACAAACATGTGGTGGGTACCTTGGAAGATGGTTTCTTCGCCCAGGAAACTCTGTAAACGACACCAAAAGCTCCCTCACCCAACTTCTTTCCCAACACAAAATCATCCTGCCGTAATTGTAAAACAACACAAAACCCACAACACCATGTATTTCAAGATTAAAACATGTTCGAATCGCAAGAATACAAATGAAGAAACAAAGAATTGGAGTTCGAAAGTAAGAACGAGATTGTATCTATAAAATACTCACCTTTTTGTATGTAGGTCTGAATAATCTTTCAACAAAAGCAAGAACAAACATATCCCAAAACCCAGGGGCGACACCAGGGGTAGCCCAAAGGTAAGAAAGGGTACCCAAAGCCAAAACAGCACCAGGGATCGTGAGTGTTAAGGCATTCGATCTTGGTAATGTGCTTCTGTAAATCATATCACCACACTCCATCACTGTACAAGGAAGACCAACTCCAACGCCCAAAAACACATCATGAACAAAATCAACCAACTGAACTCCAGCAACAACAGTTGAGTGTAAATTCGGCCTCAAGATTGTGACTTTTGATCCATGTGAAGTGGATTCTTGTAAAGGCTTGAGTTTTAACCTTTTGCCTAAAAATGGAGATGGTGGTAATGAATTGAGGGAGTTGAGCTTAACGGAACCACCTCCAAATCCAACTCCAACTCCTCCTGCTGATATAGTTGCCATGATATCAGTCGATGTATGTACGTACATATTTACATTTACATATACTCCTTTCTTTTCAGCTGGATCCTGCTTGAATTTGAACCAGTAACACCTCTCTTTGTTCTTGTTCTTGTGCAACACATATGATTTTGTGTGAGGGAGATAAACCAGACTGAAGGTTTAAGGGAGTAATTCAGGTATTATTCGTGGAGAGGAATTTGTTAGAGTGGATGGGATAATAACGACCACAAATGAATAATGATACGTGGAGTCACAATCACGTAGAAATCCCAATTTCAGACACGAAGACACGAATTGTGAGATACACGACACGACAAAAATATATGACACGAATGCATCTTAAAAATTGAGATAAAGCTTATTTCTGATTGTGTAATCGTTTCGTGTCAAATTCATGGCTGACACGTTTTCATGACACGAATACACGAATTGTCAGGTCTACAATCACGTGCTGGGGAAAGCCTTGAAGGCAATCCTCGTTTGATCAAATTATCTTTGGGGAAAAAATTAGATGTCTTTCTTCCATTTTAATTGGTTCTCTCATTGATTTTTATTTATTTTATTCAAACATGTCGAAATTTTACTTCTCAAACTGTTGTAATATAAACTATAGAGGTTTTCAGGAAGCCCGATTATTTTATTAGGCTCAGCCCAAGACTTGTAACAGGCCCACTTGTGTTGCGTTCCAAAAAGTCCTACTGGACCCGGTTATGATGGACGGTTATGTATCATCTGTTATTTGGGCTAAGTCTCTTGATCTATTACTATAAGTATTAATGTATCATCAAAAAATGTTTATTTGAGAGTTGGGACATTATATTAAAGAACCGAGTGTTAAAATAAATACGTTTTGATGATAAGTTTAGATGAAAGTAGTTTAAGATGAAAGCATGTTAGATGAAACCTTGAAGTATAGTTAATGTCTTGAAATATGAAATGTAGTTTTTAGTTGATCTGGTGTAGCGAACGGATCATTAGTCAACTCGATTACGTTTTAATGATAAGTTTATATGAAACCCGTTTAAAATGAAATGTGAAGTTAAATGATATTTGAAGTATATTTAATGTTTTAAAATACGGTTTTTTAGTTGATTCGGTGCATGTAATTGGTCAACTCGGTCTTTAGAATTTCTCAACTT